TTATCAGCTGGTCCAAGGGGTACCTCAGGGCTCTGTTCTTGATCCCCTTCTATCTTCTATTTACACCACATCAATGAAACCCTCATCCAATCACATGGTTTCTCTTATTATTGTTATGCTGATGACACACAGCTCTATCTTTCATTTCATCCTGACCCAACAGTAGCTGAAAGGACCGTGCACTGCCCAAAAGATATCTCAGCTTGGATGAAAGATCATTACCAACAGATAATTCTGGCAAAATCAGAACTTCTCATTTTCCCTGCTCCACACATTCAACATAATTTCATCAATAGTCAACTTAATTTATCAATCCAACTGGAATCATCTACTATTGCTACATGTACATGTAATTCAGTGAGTTTAGTCCAAGCTATTGTCAATTCAAAGCTGGACTACTGTAATACTCTACTAGCTGGATTCCCATCTTGCACCCTTAAACCTCTACAGATGATCCAGAATGCTGCAGCTAGTCTGTTCTTCAATGAGCTTAAGAGAGCCTAGGTAACTCCTCTCTTTATCTTTTTATATTGGTTACCAGTCGATGCATGTATCAAACTGAAATCATTGATGCTTGCTTACTATAGTTATAATATTTTTGGATTTTTCATTAGTTTTAGTTTCTATTTCGTTTAGACTTTTGTTTTCAAATGCAATTAGTTTTAATTAGTTTTAGAGAGATTTACTAGTTTTTATTAGATTCTATATCTTGAAATGACCTAGTTTTAGTTTAGTTTTTATTAGTTTCAGTATTAGGTTTTTTTTTGTTTGTTTGTTTTTCTAAATGAGGATATTTGTTAGGTGCAAGATTCAAAATCAACAGGATAATTATTATATAATAAAAACTCAGTCATACATTTTTTTAAAACCTGTATTTAGAGGATACATGAACACTATCATCTACCGCTACCATCTACCCATCATCAAATTCAAATACAGCAGCACACAAAATAGCAGCCCTACGTACAATATGTCTGCAAGGCTGCTTTGAGGTTAGAAACACAGTAGCGATGGGAAGTTCATATTTTTAACGCGGATGTTAGGACTCAACATTATGTAGTCAGCAATAGTAATTTCTGTCAGTTAAAACATTACCATGATCTGAAAAAAGTCTTGCAGTAAAGTTTTGCAACCCAACTAAAGCATGATTCATTTATTTTAATTTCTTATGTTTTTCACCAGGTCCTGTATTTAAGCCCTCAGTTCTCTGAGCAGAAACAGTTTCTTTGTACAATTAGCACTTCTTATTGAATCGTTGAAAGACACCTCAGTTGCAAGTTGCTTAATGTAAATGTAAATTAACCACCTTTTTAAGGTCATGTCAATGCATCTCACATTCAGATCAGGACTTTGACTAGACCACTCCAAAGTCTTTATTTTGTTTTTCTTTAGCCATACAGAGGTGAACTTGCAGGTGTGGTTTGGATCCAAATTCGCTTCAGCTTGAAATCACTAGCAGATAGCATGACGTTATCCATCAGAATATTATGACAATATTATTACAATTCTACACAGCGGAATTCATGGTTCCATTTATCAGAGTAAGTCTTCCAGTTTATGAAGCAGCAAAACAGGCCCACAAGATCACACAACCACCACCACAGTTTACTGTTTGTATGTTTTTCTGACAGTGTTGTTCTTTTATGATTTACTGTCCTGCAGGTCCTATTTAAGTGATCTATTGATTGCTTGATTGACTTAAGTTTTAAATGGGAAAATTATCAAAACTCTTTTAAAAATTTTGGTACAAAATGCTAATGGTTTACTTTTGCTAAGCTAAGCTAGAAGTGGCCCCACCAGAACAAGAAATCTGCTAAATGGACTTTGTTTAACTTAAGACTTGAAAAATGAATCTTTTTAACAAAAGTTGATTGTTCTTTTACACTAAATAACAACATCAGGGGACTGCAACAGCACTTATCATGCAAAATCAACTTTTGAAAGCTTTTTGGACAGTGTGGAGATATATTGTGTCCACTTTCATATTGAAGTGATATAAACACAACAAGTCTCTTTTTTCAAAATGTCCTGATTTTAAAAAAGGATCCAAATCTCAGGGCTTTTGAAGCCCACCACAATGTGACGCAGGAGTACAGTTTTCCTTACCTGACTTGAATGACAGGCGAGTACTAACATGTCTTTGTAATGCATATGCACAGAAAAATATACATGTCCACAAAAAAAAGGATTGGCAAAAAACTGGGATGGTGATATTTTAAACTCAACATGCTTATAACATACAGTGCTTCTGGAAATTAATTTATTTCCCCAAACACAATAACCTAATATGACATTGTTTCGCTGCTTACGTTTGCACTCCTGGTATGAATCCCGGTTGTAACCATGCATGCCAAAAAAAAAATGTGCTGCCCCCACGCCAATCATGCATTGTGCATAAGACGTTGTGCCGAGAAACGCACCTTTGACGTATTATTCCCTGTTTCATAGACTTTAATTGGGATTGTCTTCATAAAAACTAATAGCCATAATTGATTAAAACATAATATGATTATTGTCTTGATGGATAAAGCAAAAACATTAAGTGCAACACATTTTAAATCACACTAGGTTTACAAATACATCTAAAAAAAAATTCCTTCCTTCCGTAAGGGAAGGGTTTACTCTCATTAGTGTCATAATGTTACTATTAAAAAATAGCAATTTAAGTGAATAGGTGCACATTTCAAAGGGGGTGCATTTTATGGCACATGCCATATAGTGTAATAGCTTTTTGTGCACATATGTCGGCACACAGTCAGTTTTGGAAGTCGACAAAACTAAAGATGAAATAATATGATGATGATCATATTTTGACTAAGCATAGCTCCAGATAGATTTTTGTTTTGTATGAAGCAGAAAGGAGGTTAAATTTTAAAAAGTTAATTCTTGGCCAACACACAACAGATAATTCTATAAAACCTATTTTTTGTGTACTATACAATTGTCTATAGAATTTCATAATGAAATTAATATTCATTCATTCATTTTCCTTTAGCGTAGTCTCTATTTCAGATGTCGCCACTACGAAATGAACCACCAACTGTTCCGGCATATGTTTGCCCTTCCAGCCGCAACCCAGTACTGTGAAACACTCGTACACACTCATTCACACACACACACACACACACACACACACTCTTACACTATAGCCAATTTAGTTTATTCAATTCACCTATAGCGCATATGTTTGCGCATGTGCTTGAACTCACGCCAACACGGGGAGAACATGCAAACTCCACACAGAAATGCCATCTGACCCAGCCGGGACTCGAACCAGCAACCTCAGGGCTTGTTCAATGTGCATGGGTTGTCGCATTGCAATTAGTTTTTATTTCACAGGACTATTTAGGGCTCAGATTTAAGGATTTACAAAATTTATCTCTGACCGCATCAAAAAAAACAATTGTTTCTTAGCCACAGATTATAAATATACATGTACTTTTTATTTAACAAAACTTTTCTTTATTAAAAATTGACATTTAAAAAGATCTTTTGTCATGTATCTAAAATAAGCACAATAATCTGTCCATAAGGTCCCAGATAAGCAGTTACTACACATAAGGGGGGAGTTAATCTCATATTGAAGCAATGTTATTGTAAAGGATAATAATTAAAATATATTAACTAAAATAATTGTAAGCAATAGAAATCAGTTAAAAACATACTGTTATGTTTTTATACTGTTAATAAAAGGATAACCACGTGCACATAGTTAATGTTACGCCTGTAAATGATCTGTTTAAAGAATAATTAAAATGAAAGCAGTGACTGCTGCTGCTTACAAAAGGATATATATATATAAAATTAAATATATATATATATATATTTTAAAAAAACTACGAATCAAAAAATTATTTCCAACCAGCCAAAGTGGAGACATAGTGGAAAGTGGAAGATCTACCCGCATTTGGCGGGTTGGCAAGTGTTAATGTCAACCCCTGATAATAATAATAATACTCTTGTAGTAACTTTTAAAAAAAAAAAAGTATTTACCAAAATAATATATTTAGAATTTTTATATATTTAGAATATGGGCATGGCTTATGTGGGGGCGTGGTTTGTGGCATATGGGCAAGGCTAAATTCTCACTCCAAGCTAAAACCAAAAGTTGCCAGCCCTGGGGTAGCAGACTAATTATTAAGTCATTAGTCACTTATAATCATAAATATGTAAATATATCACTCACTCATTCACTCCCTTGCATTTTTATTCCCTGTCTTATTAGGGGTCGCTACGGCAAAGTGATCCCCCAATTTCTCTAGGAGTTGTTTTAAATAGTGGACACACTTTCAGCTAAATCTAACACTGAGAGAACACCACTCAATGTGGGAAACAATACACTCTCCCATTCACACACTACTATGACTAATGTAGTTTATCCAATTCACATATAATGCATGCCTTTGACTGTGGGGGAAACTGGAGCACCTGCAGGAAATCCATGCATACTCATGGAGATATAACCAGAATGGACTACATCACACTGTACTAGAACTGTAAAGTTTTAATCAGCAATAACCAGCCTGAGCAATTCATTTTTGTTTAAACTGGATTTTTAAGAAAGTCTTCATAACATTTTTTTGTGTTCAGTGGGAGGAATAATGACTTTCATATTTACCTTATTAGTAATAAAAGATAAATTTTTAAAAACTGCTCAGAATAAATTTCACTGTGATTGCCTAATACAAATAAATTGTACTAGTAAAGAAAGTTGAGCTATTTGATACATGAAACATTTTAGAGCCCCAAATTTTTCTACGCTGCACAAAACTGGGGCACATCAGTTCTAAATTCATCATGTATCCAGAGATATCTGGACCTTTGCACCAGTACTTCAGGCACTTATCCAAACCCTAAGGACTCAAATGGGGCATCTATCCTCCATCATATTCTGCCCAGTATGTGCTACAAACTGAAAAAACACAATACAAGTCAGCACATCAACAATTTCATCCACTCATATTTCAGCTAGAGTTTAATAGACAGCTTGGAGGACTTACCTCTGTCTGTGTCATAGAGGTAGACAAACTTGTCCCACTTGTAGTGAGAAAGAAGACTTAAGACAGCACCCTTCAATGGAGGGCGCATCTGGATGACAAACTGCACATCTGAGTCGATGGGGTAACTGGGTGTGACAAAGGAGGTGTGGAGGGCTCCACAGAAGGAGGTCAGTGTGTTCATAGACTTCTTGTCATAAAAGCCAAAGATGGCATACACCCCTCTGGAGAACTGCGAACAAACTGTAATCAGAGAAAAGCAAGACACACAACGAAATCAAACCATGTTGACTGCTGCTTACTCTCTCAAAACGCTTGGAGCAATTGCACATTTTGTAATTATGACAATGTAAATAAAATAATTGAGGTGTTAATGAAGTGGGAACATGAAGGTTAAAGTAAGTGATTCTCAATTCTTTTACTAAAATTATTGTACTAAAATGACAGGCTGTTATAAAAAATACTTTAATAAGTTTACTGCACATCCAGTATATCAGGGGCTTGTTAGAGGCTTTGTTTGAACAATAAGACATTTAGTAACTTTTTTCATATTTTCAAAATTACATAATTATAAGCTAACAGGAAGAGCTGGCTATAGAATTATGCATTTATGGAAATAACAAATAAACAAAGACTGCATTTAACATCATACAGCAGCAATAAATGTTTGATCATTGTTATGATCTTCAAAGCTTTGCAGATTGCGAACAACCTGCATTATCACCTGGACTACAATTCTTCCACCATATGAACAACAACTCTCTCTTTCCGAAAGTGAGAGGTTAGGAGCTGCAGGTCAGTCAAGTTCATGCACACCAAACTCTTGCATCTATGTCTTTATAGACCTTCTTGTGTGCACTGGTGCACAGTTATAAACTGTCCAAACTGTCCTGGTATACTGAAGGATTAAGGGTTTCATTTACTGGAACCATGCCCACCCCCTAAAAATCCCAGATGAAAACCTTCTCCAGAGTGCTCAAGACCTCAGACTGGGCAGAAGGTTTATTTTCCAACAAGACAATGACCCTAAGAACACAGCTAAAAAAAACAAAGAAGGGGCTTCACAACCAATACATGACTGTTGTTGAATGCCTCAGCCAGAGCCCTGACATAAACCCAATTGAGCATCTCTGGAAAGACCTAAAATGGCTGTCCACCAGCATTTACCACCTAACCTCACAAAACTGGAGAGGATCTGCATGCAAGAATGGCAGAGGGTCCCCAATTCCAGGTGTGAAAAACGTTTCCTCTTTCCCAAAAAGACTCATGACTGTATTAGAACAAAAGGGTACTTCTACTAAATACTGAGCAAAGTGTAAGAATTCTTAGGACCATGGGATGACCATTTCTCTCTGTCTCACATTGAACACAGTGAACTAATCGCAACAGACTGGATCATTGGACCAATTAGTGCAGATTAGCATTGCACTAAGGAGGGGTTTGGAAACAAATTAATTTCTGAAAAAATCATATGGGAGTCTTTGGGATAATTTGGTAAAATAAATGCATATTATAAGATGATGAAAGTGTTTTTTTGACCACCAAAGCCAAAATAGGACCCTTTTTAATGCATAATATGGCTCTTTAAAGCAAAAGTCCCCTAACTGTCCTGAATGACCACTAGATGTCCTGTGAGCATCGATGTAAAGGTCCAGGAACCCTATTTGCAATAGCCATTTAGGGCACATACTGAGGACCTCAAGACAGATATTTTAAAACATTAAATTCTGCCTGTATCTATATCTGTGTTCTATTGAATTTAAAATCAATTTTTCAAACAATTTGTGTAGTTTTCAAGTGTTAGTCAGTGGTTTTAATTTGTGTTTGTTTAAATAGGTTATTATTATGTTTTTAAAAGAGTAGTTGATTAAGTTTTATGGAATACTATGCCAGTGATATAAATCTGCAATAATCCACTCGCATGTCACCTGGTTTAGTTACTCTGTTTTGTATTACCAGCTTACAACTGTAGATGTAAGTGCAGAATGATTCCTAATATAGTACTCATGTTATGTACAAAAAGTTATAACATTCACAAGTTTAGAGCAAGAAGCAGACTCTGAAGCATGTCCTTCATGTTGTGAGAGGATTGACATATGGTGGCACTGTAAGCATTGGTCTAGTAAAATTAATGCACTAATAAGTTATTCACGTCTAATCTATAACTTAAAAGGGACAAAGGCATTTAGTGACTGTGGCCAATCATACACAGATTAATATAGTGTCTGCCTTGTTATCCTTTTTACACTTAAGACATTTAACATTTGACACAAAATGTGCTTAGTTCTATCACTAATAATTATGTCCCAATCCTTGAATATTGTTTGTGCTCTAACAAAAACATTTGTAGATGAGGAGAAAGTCAAACTTGTTTAATAATCCTGAGGAGAACAATAACTTGTGTGTATTGCCTACCACATCAAACAATTTGCAATCTTTCAAATTTGGCCTTTTGAATTGCCAGTCTGTTGGTAACAAACCATTCCTCTTCATTACAGAGTTTTCTGGCTCTTACTAAAACCTGAGCATAGTGCTACACCTGCAACCTCTTTTTCCCTTCTACCATTGGTTGACTGGGAGAGATGGAGGCTCTGGTTTGCTCATCTCTAGCCACTGAAAATAAACTTTCACCAATGCATGTCCAGATCATGAAAGTCCTGAGAGAGTCTCACAATTTCACAATAACCCACCCTACAAAATCACTGTTGTAGTAATGTATCATCTCAAAACTCAATCCCTGCACTTGTAGACAAATACAGACTGAAATCCATCCCTATATGTAATATTAAGAGTTCAGATGCAAAAACTCTAAGAATTTTCTGTTTATGTTCAGTTACTTTATGTTAAAATTGATCAAAATAAACTATTCTTTGCCATAAATGTGCAAATATATAAGACATAGAAACCCTAGAAAAATGTTAATTTCAGTTTCTTTGGCACTTTGTCCTTTAATATAAACAACCAGATAAATGAACTGTACCTTTAGTTTTACCTACTCAAAGAAAGCACTCTTTTTGAATGCATTAATCAAACTCAAGTACATGTAAGTAATTTGCATTTATATAGCTTAATTACCCTGTATGGCCATACACCCTAACTGTTAGAGCTGCGATTGGCTCTAACAGTCAGCACGGCCATGGCACCAAACTTTGATATGGACACTGATAAACAGCTGGCTATCACAGCTTATCCATGAGAGGATAATGCCTACGGACATGCGTGTGAGGACCAGGCATGCTTGGGATGTGCCCTCTCATCCTGGTGTGTGTTGTTTTTTGCAGCACATTGTTCTCAATGCTCCAGTCTAGTCGGTGTCGGTTAGTGCTGGGATCGAAGCATGCGTGTCAATGTGAGTTCACTGCGTTGGCATTGTGTAAGTTTTGTGTCATGTGCTCTCGCATTTATTGTCTAGTCGTACCCTCCTTGTTATCCTATTATTAGTTTTATTCAGTTCCCCTTCATAAGAAAACTCCAACATATGTCTGATAACAGACTATGGAAGTTCGTCAGATGACCTATACATCTGAAGAGTAAAAAAACAGGCCAATGAAATCCCAATTGAATTGCTGTAGCTTGGCTCCACAGCTGATCCTGATGAGCCCTTATCAGTAGTCATCTCACCAGAATTGTTGCTTCAGACCCAATCATGAGACAGAAGACTCGCTATCTGCCAACTTGATTTCAAGTTTACTTACCAGTGCGGGAGAGGGCACAACAGTGGCGGTCGATCTGCGATTCCTGTCCCCTGAGCGTTTTGCTGATGTGCACAAAAGAGCAGTTTCCATTTAACAAGACAGATTCCCTAAGAGAGCAACGCAGTCAATCAACACATCTTTTTCATGACGCTGTTCTGACTGTGCATTTTCGGATGCGGTGGTTCCTACCTCCGGATGATGAGCATGGGTATTGCATCACAGGTCTGGGGGTCCAGCAAGTCAATCTGGTGCCCACGGAAAGCTCATGTTCTCACTGTAAGGGCGTGGCTGTTGCACAGCTGAGATCATGGCTTCAGCCACCGCTGTTGCTTCCTTTGAAAGCGGTTAGCACCCGGGCAGATCTGAGGATCACAGTGGGGGTTTATCCATTGCCTCTGAGCCTACAAACCCCCCACTCCTCCACAGCGCACCCCATCCAAGCTTCAAGTGGTTGTAAGGTTCAACCCCTGGGATGTCTGCGCCTCCACTTGATAAGATCAACGGTCCATCGATACATCGGTGGGTGAGCTGTTATGCTCAGATGACAGACCGGGCTTGCTTCCATCCTACGAGGTACAATGCATGGTCACGGTTATCGAATCAGGCATAATGCCTGCGATTCCTGGCCTGCTTCGGCAGTGCGGCTGGAGATGGCTTGTCCCCCTTCTCGCCGCTAGGCCAACTAGAGGGTGTGACGTGCAGGCTGATGAAAGATGAATCTTCCAACCCCTGTCCCCTTCTTCCCAGGGGAGCACAGCAAGCGCACACTGGCATAGAGGGCGTTCTTCTCTGCCCGTTCCACATGTGCTTCCGCCTTCACCTCCCTTAATAGAGAGGTGGCCAGTGGCTAGGAAGTTATTCCTCAGGTGGTGTGTGCTGCCACCTGGAGTGGTAAATGGAGACCCACGTCTAAGGTGCGTAGGATATCTGTTTCTCTCTCTACCAGGGCCCACACAGCTGCAGGCCTTCTGCCCAGCACCCAGCAACCTTGTGGCTGTGCTGCACAGGGGTGGTTCTTCCCGAGTCTTATTTTTAAGCATTACACATAATCAACTATGCTCTTATGACCTTCAAGTCGGCTGCCTGTGCCCTGAGGAAGACGTTGGCCACACAGTGGTCCGGAAATGCCATCCCTGGCTTACCCTGCAGACATGCACTATGCTGACAAAGTACGCTTTCTTAGTCTGCACCTATCCCAGGCAGGCCTTTTCGGGTGACACCGTCGGGAACTTTAACACGGACTCCTTGGTGGTGAAAGATAAACTGTGCGTGATGGAGCAGGTCATTTCTTGGTGGGCTCGGAAAACTGCTTTTCCCATTAGAGTCGTCAGTGCTGATTGTTCCTCGCCGAGAGTGCTCTCCCGCGGCTCGAAAATGCTCTAACGTCACAACCCATTACACTGGATGAAAAGCGCACTGAGCCCCCCCACCCTCCAGCGGAGAGTTGACGCTCCAGTCACAGGTCGACTTTAAGTCCAGTAATTGGACTGCAAAGCGAACCGCTCGGAGAGGAGGAGAATCGAGCTTTCCCTGGTGGAGGCCGGGGCT